TGCCACAGCAATACAGAAAAAAAGTAGAAGCAGCTATTCTATTGTTATATAATGTAAACGTTAAACTAAAACTGATATAAAAAAAACACACAAAGAAGGTCACTACATACTTGCCAAGGGAAACATTCAAGAAGAGATAACAATCATAAATAACTATATGCACCAAACACAGGTTCACCCAACTACATAAGACAAACATTAACAAACATAAAAGGCAAATAAGAACTAACACAATGTTGTGGTGGGGACAACAATATTGCAGTCTTACACATAGATAGATCAACCAAACAAAAGAAATAAACGAAAAGATCAAAATTAAACCAAGCTTGTGATCAAGTGGACCTGGTAATTGTCTATAGAGTGTTAACCCCAAAACATTAGAATATGCATTCTTTTCAGATGCACATGGGTTGTTCTCCGAAATAGACCATACTGTGGCCCACGTTTGAGTAAATAGAGAGGAATTGAAATCATCCCATGTGTACTATCTAACCATAGCAAAATGAAACTATAAACCAACAACAGAAGAAACCACAAAACTACATAAACACATGGAAATTAAACAACCCTTCTGAACAACCAAAGGATCACACAGGAAATTAAGCAATGCATACAATTAAATGATAAAGCAGATACAATATACCAGAACATACAGGACACAATAGAAACACTTCTATGAGAAAAATTTATAGTGATGAATTCACACATCAGAAAAACAGAATAAATGCAAGTCAACAACCTAATGTTGACCCTCAGTCTTCTAGAAAAAGAACAAATCAAACCCAAGACTCATACAAGAAAAGAAATTATAGAAATAAGAGCAGAAATTAATGCAATTGAAACTAAGAAAATAATACAAAGAATCAATGAATCAAAAAGTAAAATTCAAAACAATAAGTAAAATTGATAAACCATTAGCTACCCTCATCAAAAAGAAGAAAGTAAAAACACAAATTCAAGCAATTAGAAATGAAAAAGAGGAAATCACAACAGCTCCTACAATAATCCAGAGGATCATCAATACCTACTATGAGAACCTACATTCTAATAAGATTTAAACACAGAAGAAATGGACAGATTCCTAGACATAATCAAATTTCCAAAACTAAATCAAGATGATATAAAAATTCTAAATAACTCATTATCAACTGATTAAATTGAAGAGATAACTAAAGATTTGCTAACAAAGAAAAGTCCAGGTAATGATGGATTCACTGTTAAATTTTACAAAAAATCTAGAGAAAAACTAATGCCATCAATTAGTTTTTTAGCGTTTTCAATGCTGAAAATCTTTAAGGAAATTGAAAGGGAAACAATACTCCTAAAGTCATTCCTTGAAGCAAGTATTACTCTGATACTGAAACCAGAGAATGATGCAACCAAAAAGGAAAGCTACAGGACAATCTCCCTAATCAATAAGGGCCAAAAATCCTCAACAAAATACTGGCAAACAGAATGCAGGAAATCGGACTGGTGAGATGGCTCAGGGGTCTAAAGTACCTACTTAGAACAAGCTTAGCAAAGCACAGGGACCACGGTTCAATCCCCCAGCACCACATGCCAGCCAGCCCCGCCCCCTGGTGGGCTGA